TATATATGTATTCTTTGCACATTATCATGTCTGAAAAAATTGGTTATTTCCTCCAACAGGGTATACAACCACACAAGAAAAATCCCTAAACTGTGCAGAGAACTTTACCTTACATTTCACGCTTAAAATCACTACAGGCAGAATTGCAACTACCCTAAAAATCCTAGAATAGTTTATCTGCAGAAAAACAAATCTAATAAAATAGGCCCTGAAGTGATCAAATTATTAAACTAAAGTTATATGAACAATTTTATTTTGGCATATCAAGAAGCGTTAGAATGTGCTACTGATATTACTTACTGCCAAAACAGTTTACAAAAAGCCATCTAAGCCATCTCACAGATGATAATGTGGGAAGTTTCATGATAGATTTTTTCAGAAGCAATTTTGTCCTTTAGAAGGCATACATTCTTTAGATGTACACTTAATAGGTACTACAGTAACTGAATAGGAAAAATTAATCCTGTATCAAATGTATTAATAACTGTACTAAAGCATAGCATTTCTCTAGAAACTAGATTAGAATTGTTCCATCCTTTGTTCCTCTGTGGAACAAAACACCAAGCCAATTCAATCTGACTGCTACTTAGCTTTGCAAGATTTGATTTATTTTCTGAATTCAGGCCTTCGTTCCAGACTGCCTAGTTCATATGTTCACCAGCATGCACCCAAACACACTGATGGGCATTTTGCCTTCTTGGCAATAGTTCTGAAGCTTTCATTTTACTTTTAAATCAACACTTTCTGTCCAGAGATGTTACGTTATGTTGGTTGTCAGGAATCTAACATTAGCAACGCATATTACTCGCGTCGTAGGAAGCATCTGACACTACATTGTATAGTCCTTCCTCTTAAACGACAACAAATCCAAAACATTTGTGATTTGGTGTAAAAATATCTGCTTACCTGCCACACTCCCACAATTGCGTTGGCTACTAATATAAGTAAGATTACAAAAGGCTCTACAAACGCTGTGATTGTTTCTTCGCCTTCTTCAAACCAGGCCAGGACCTGTAAGAGAAACACAATGTTTTAAATTACTGATTTACACAGACACCTTGCAAGTTTAAGGTCCAGTAAGTTTTAGCTTGAGGTTCAACTTCCTAGACTTGAGTAACTTTGGAAATCTTTTCATCTTCCAAGGTGTAATTCTGTAGTTAATGAATGAGTTGGCAATATGCAATGGAAAAAGAGAAAAAGAATATTTAACAAAGTAGTACAAAGTTCATTTCCAAGGCTGCTTTTCTTTTAAAGGAGTAAGCTATGTATGTGGGAAGCATATTGCTACTTTTGCTTCATGAATGAAAGCGGAAGTTGTCACAACAGCTACAGCAGTAAGAAGTTTGGGTTTTTAAATATCCATTACTGTATAAAACAGGATGCAGACAGACTAGTTTGACTACTTAGAACACTACAACTTTGCCAGAATTTGAATTTTAACCAAATTAATTGTTCTTTACCAATAAATTAAGACGCACAAATGGAAACAGCTTTACAAATTTTCGGTGGGTAGATTAAAAAACAATAAAAAGAACTTAAGTACAAGTAGGGTCTTGTTGAAGCATTTAAGTGAATTGTATAGTTATATCTAAAGTTGAATTCTGAGCCGAGTAACTGATAAAACTCAAAAACTAATTTTAAAAACCAAATTGAGGACTTGCATAAAAGGCTCAGAGATTTTATTTTACTGTATTTGCTTTAGAATTGCACTCTGGTTTTAGGCTTCTGCCAGTCATTTGACTAGTATGGGTATGTGTCAGGGCCTCTGTAGAGTTCTCTAGTTACTAAAGAAAAGTCAAGCTAACATGACCAGAGAGGAAGAGCTTTCTCACCAACACATTGAGCAACAGGAAGCCTGGAAAGTGACAGTAAATAGGAACAACGTGTTGAGATAATTAGGGCTGGTAGTCAGGCAACAGCAGTCTGAATCACTAGAAGACTGCAGCGAATAAACCATTACTAAAGCAAGCGCCTTAATTCCACCAACATGCTGCTCAGACCTATTGCTCAATTGTGAAACGCTCCAGGATGTTAAAAGGAAGGAGCAGCAGCACGAAAGCTTTAAGCAGAAAACAGACTGTCAAGCAAATCCAACGCAACAAATTTTTACGACAAAGATAAACTTATAAGATCCAAGTCATGAATACTAACACGGATACATTCCAGCTGGCAACGCATCATTTTGAGGGTCCACATAATCCCTCTGGAATAGAGATTTAGTTAGGATCTCTTACACTTCCTACATCTCAGTGTTTCTCCCTTCCTCCCACACCAGCAGTCTCCAATCCCCAGCAACAACTTCTGCCATTTGACCTGCCAGAGCAGTCATATAGTCCATGTTGTCATCTTCATTCCATGTATTATCCCTTGCAGCATGGAGAGCTTTTGCTCTGCACCAGCACTGTTGCCTCCCGTGGAGCTACAGAAAAGGCTAATAGTACACTTCCAGTTTCCTTAGCATTTACAAGGTCACACACTGCCATCAGAAAATCTGCCTAGTATCCGTTTCTTCCCCCCCTTCCTTTCTCAGAATTAAGTGGAGCCCACTTTGCTTCCAACAAAGCAAGTAAATTTGATCATTCTGTGATGTTCTTAACAGAGCAGGCACCTATAAGGTTAATCAGAATAAAACATCTGCTTTACACAACACTAAATAATAACCTTTTCAGATGGAAGACCACAACTGTTGTAAAATAACATCAAGAATGCCTGCATCTTAAGAGAGGTAAGGAAAGTAGCTACAAGGACAGCAAGATGCAAATATGCCAAGGAGAAGCAAAATTAAGTTTTCAAGGAATCCTTCCTTTCAAGAAGCCATTATTTCAAAAAGAGCAGATTAATTCAGGCAGGAGGTCCTGACCGTACAGATCTGATAGTTTAGATCTTCACTGTTGTTTTTTTGGCAAAGCTGCCAATCTGTGACCAGATTAAAATGAAGCATCTAGTTAATGCTGGAAGGTGGCAACACACATTTCTCTCCCAAAAAGTTGCCATGCAATTACTGACAGCGGAATGATCTCAGCTCTAGCTCTAGAAAGTTTTAGTAAACATAGACACATAAATAACAGAACATATTATGAGTCCTTGGCTTCATTATAACAGATTACAGCTATATTAACATGCCATTTAGGACACTTGTGCTACACGAGACATATTGCTGTAACAGGTCAGTTTTATTATTTGACAGTAGCCTCAAGTAAAAACAAAACCACAGCAAAAACCAAAGAGAAAGTAGAACAAGGAATACAAGTACTTAATTAGGTGTTTTGAGTAAAAAGAGATCATATGCTGAAGCCTGGTAGAGACTAGACAATTCTTGTCCAAGACATTGAGTCCTTGTCACAAAGTTTCCACTACCGCACTTTTAAGATCCTGGCAAGGTTTACAATGAGAGATCTTTTATTTGACTCCTACTCAGAAGGGCCCCACCAAAATTTAGCCCTAATCACTTTAAGACTCACATGTAGAACAGCTTAATTTCCAGGTCATTGATCTTCAATGCACTGTTCAGGCAGTATGGTCAATAACTAAAGTTACCATCTATTTAAGAAGCTTAAAAGAGTAAGGGAAAAAAAAAAAGAAAAAGAAGATAATTGCTCGAGAGAAATGCAAGTCTGAAAATACAAGGGAAATTAATAGCAAGACATAAAAGTCCCATATCAACAGCCAATGTAAGCAGCTTAAAGGACAACTTTCATTCAGCATATTTGCTTTAGGGCTGCTACGGCTTGCAGAAGCCTATTTTGATCAAAGCCTAATGGGGTGGACCTGCAGGACACTAAGCTGAAAAATACACAATGACAAGCAAATAGCACTTAGTTTTCATGGTTATTTGTAAAAAGGGGGCAGAGGCACAGTGCAGAAGTCAGCCAGCAAAGAGGCAACTACTGACGAAAACTGCTAGAACAGAAGCGTCCTTACAGCTCTTCACATTTCTACAAGTATCTATTGTCAGAGAAGTTATGGAGGCGAGCTGCCTCAAATCACTATTTCCCATTAAGTAACAAGAACAAAATCGAAGAATGGCAATTTCCAGACAGAATTCTGTTGCCCAGCAGGCTGTACCCACTCACCACTAACCGAGGAAAAGCAAACAGTTTGTTGTGAGTAACCTAGCAAGGTTTTTGCTTTGTTTTTAATTTTTACAATGGAAACTTAGAGCGTAGTCTCCCAGCTTGCTTCTATCTCATCCTAACAGAAAGAAAGTCTGGACTAATTAAAGCAGGTCATTTAAAACTAGCGACTGCTTTTAAGAGAGCTTTATTCTCACAGGATACTGTGAATTAAGATTTAGCATATCACCTCTTCCAGTAATGTCTCTTTTTAATACAAATTAGCTTAAAATTAAGCAGATGCAAACTATTTCAGCACTCCCGATGCTTGTTCCATGGCAGCTATTCTGAACACCAGGAAATACTAAAGAAAAACCTCCTAATTTTAGTTCCATTATTCAGGAGAGATTTTTATTTGATATCCCAGAACAAAGGATGGGAAAAACAAACACACAAACACATCTCGACCACACATAAATACAAAATCAAGATTTTTACTGGGTTAGCAGATTGTAAGCACCCATCAGATATGCTACTCTGTATTTCTGAAAATAAACACATTCCTGAGTTTATGGAAGCAGTAAGGGGGGGAAAAAAAGCCCAGATACACTCTACCCACCATTTAATCTCAACAAAGTAAAACGGAATCACAGTTACTTCTCACAGTTTTATCACCTCTACCCATCAGTTGGTATCTTGGGTGCTATCAAGTAATCTGAGTTCAGCTAAAAGCATGACAGTGTCATATTCTACAGCAGTCCTTATCTTGGCACCACATTCTCCCTGCTACTGACCTTAACAGGTAGCTTTCGGGGTGATTTCAGGGCAAAGCTTGCAACATTTTTACTAGCACATCTAATTTCCTCCAAGACTAACTTTGGTCACTGTTTAACACAGATCAGGTTATACTCATGCTAGTTTACAGGCTACAGTGATCTCTGGACTAAATCACAATATATTGTTTTAATCTAAACATGGATATCCGCTGCTAAAAAACATTTCTAGAACATTCACTTCTAAGTCAGCTTAGGAATCAAAGAAATAATTGGGGGGCAAATGCTCTTAGGATGCAGTATTAATATGTAAGTTTTTAGTAGAGTTTATAGTCTATGCTGTATCTTGTAGAAGAAAATTCACTGTGTGTATGCAAAGAAAAGCCTACGTTGCTGTTTAAAGCATGCATACTTTACCAAAGAATTATTCTACATCAGCCACACAATTAACATCTTGCAACTTGTCAAAGTCATTTATACAGCACAGCAAGCTGTTCTTTTATGTAAATACTGTAGACCTGAGTATACGCTACACAAACCACAAGAATTAAATGCCATAGTTCATGGAAAATTAAACATCCTCTTACTTGCACCTAGAAACTCAGGCTATGAAGGCCTCTGAACTGCTGAGATACACTGTACAGATTTATTCTGCTTGGGCTTCACAGGTTCAGGTGAACACCAACACAAGGTCCAAGCCTATATGTAAATCCACTTACGATCAGAAATTATTTATATTGTTTCTTTTCAAAAGTCATACTTGCAGCTTTTACTAACTAGGCACATCTGTACCAGCAGTTTCAACTTGGAATGTAGGACATCGTATCTAGAGCCAGCAAACACCCAGCATATGACCCCTACAATCAGCTAGGGTGACACAGATTCAGCTGTTAGTCTGATTTATTTTCCTGACACATACCTGACAGGAGGTGTGGGAGTAGAGGACACAGAAGGCACTTGGAACACACAAGTCTGTATTTTATATAAGAGGAGATGCTTCTGCACAAAAATCTAACGCAGATCTCAACATTCAAGATTGCTGCTTCTGTGCAGTCACACAGAATCTAATTAACATGATTTATGATCCCAACACAATCACCAGAAAGCCGCCATGACACAAGACAACGATCTATATACCTTGAGATCCTCTCTTGCTTTCATACCTGAATCATGAACTTTTTTTTTAGATTGATGAGGTCAAGAATGCCGGAACTTAGGTGATGCTAGCTACATCTGATTTTTGCAGCAATATAATCTTTGTATCAACATACTCGACATATCTTTACCACTACTACAAAAGTCTAATGCATTGTCATCAAGAAAAAGTGTTAAAACCTAAGAAAACCAGACAACAGATGATCACTTTTTGAGCAAGGAAAAAGCCAGAAACAAACACAAGCGGGAAGTGCTTTTAAAGTAAAAAAATTATAATTTATCTAGGTTTTTTTTTTCTTTTATAGTTCATCAGAAAGAGAAAATATTAACTATTAACATCAATTTATAGTGGGTATCCATAACTCTTCAATAGGAGACAGAGAAGGCAGAGCAGTAGCCCAAGGTCATATACTATGCCAGTGGCACAGAAGCAGAGAACCCAGATCTATCCCACACTCCATTAGACTACAGTCTCCTCTTAATTAGATAGGAAAATTAAGCACGCTGAAAAAAAACAAAACACTGAATCCAGTTACTAATCAAGTTTTCAAAGAGGGCTTAGCAGTGTATGTTCTATGACCTCTGTCATAGAGGTCTGGTACCATACTTAGACTCAGCAATGAAAGCTTAGCTTAGTGAATTTGATTTTCCACTTACTTGGTTATAATAAAACCAAATAACGTACCTTGGCATGAAAGGCTAATGAACTTCTGTACCGTTATGTATCTCATGAGATGAGATGAACACTCATGACTTTTCAGGGACAAAAACACATACCCTTCTCACCCTCAGGGAGCAGGGGGGACCAAACAAATAGAAAAGCTTTTGAATTACATCTTTACTCAATTTTCTATAGCCAGCCTCATTTCCTCCCCTGGAAACAAAAGAGTGAGTTAAAGCACATCTGTCTCCATGGTCAAGGCCAATGGCACCCATCTCTGCTCAGCTGGTAACAGTATGTGCACATCAAACCCCAAAGCGCTTAGAAAAGGGTTGGTGTGGGGATGGCCAAAGCATCTCTCGATGGAGGATCCATCGGCAACACAGATTATGCCACAGCAGCCACGACACTGCAATCCTGCCCCCATCAAACCCAATCACTTTGAAGCACATTCTCCTCTGCCCATCCTACTTAGCTTGCCCTTAAGCTAAAGAGTCACCACAATTTCCACTGCCCCCAAACGCTGCAGCATTTCATTTTGTTAAAGTAGTTAACTACAACTCCAGGGCAAAGTCTACCGCAAACTCTGCCTCCTATCTCAACAATTTAATATGCTGCACACTTTTGTTTCTGTTGTCCAGCTCCTCAAGACATACAGCCTTCATCTTCCTTCAACACTTAGCCTCTACTCAGTTTTTCAGCAAACGCATACCGGTTACACATTATGTAAAATGATTGCCCAACCATGCTTTAAAAAATAATAAAGAAAATTACATTAAAAGTGTCCTTATTCTTTCAATCCTGTATGCAAAGCAAGATGTCCATTTAATGACTAGACTATTCAAAGGTCAGTTACCAAATTTGGTCAACAATAGTGCCATCACAGCCGTCACCATTCTTGTCACCGTCAGAAGCAACAACTGTCACCTTGCTATTATCAGGAAGGGAAGGCAACTGGAATATTCGCTGTGTAAATTCTATTTACAGTCCGCACTGCATCCAAAAATGTCTTCCAATGATTATGCATTGAGCTTGATAACGATTAACTCAAAGGCAAGAAGAATGTCCAGTTAAACACTTACTCAAGGTTAGTTTTCAAAGCCAACAAAAGCATTGGGAAATCCCACCTCAAATAAGCAAACTGGGCTGAATGAAAAGCACTTTTAAAATACCTGTCTAGTGTAGTTACATACTTATGACTCATGCAATGAAAGATTCCCTTAGATTTTGTTTTCTAGCACACAGAAACCTCTCTGCAAAGCAACTAATTTAAGAAATAGCAATTCACACTGTATACTTCTACGTTTTGAGAAAAAGAATAACTTCGGTACATAGAGTCTCTGTACACTGGAAAATCCATCATTCTGCAACACAGAAGCCTATGAAATTAAAAAAAAAATAAAATCATACTTACAAAAGATATGCAAGCTGCCAGCAACAAAATTCTAACTAGTAAGTCTTCAAATTGCTCAATCACAAGCTCGAGTAAGGTTTTTCCTGCAATATGTAACAAAGCCATTTAGTTATGTGCATTTAAAAACTGATGAATTACCTACAAGAATTAGCAGAAGGACTCATCAACGTGCTTACCTTCCTCAGCTGGTAACTCTGTTGGGGGAAGATTTTTCCAGGAAGCATGTCAAAGAAAAGAAATCATTGAAGAAACATATTAGAGCATTATACGGCATCTATCACATATCATTCCCGAACTGCCCTCTCAGCTGGGTTGGATTTGACAGCCCCATTAAGGTGGCTCTGAAAAGGCCCGATAGTTTTGCATTTTAAGACATGTACAGGTCAGGCTAAGTCAGGTTAGCCGGAATGTGCTAATGGTTATAATTCAGCCAAGTCATCACTCCAGCCAGCTGTGGGACTTCTGCTGTTGCTGCACACAAAGGGTCAAAGGCTCAAATTGCTTTTCAAACGCTTTCTGACACAGCTTTTCCTCCACCTTCACTTAAAAAACCCAACAAACCCCAAACCACCAAACTTGCTTCAAAATATTTCAAATTCTTTCCTCCATTTTAAATATAAGTTCTTATTTCTTCTCCCTCTTTCATTTCCCCACAACTAGATTTAGTAATTCCAGAGGCACAAAAGCAGTGTAAAAGCTAAATACATTATAATAAAACCCCACTGTACAGTCTTCTCACCACTTTTCATTTTTACACAGCGGCATGGGAGTTCAAAAGGGACTATGAAGACACGGATTGAACAAAAAAAACCAAAACCACCTTATGGGTTGAATTCTGGGTCTCGACTCGGGAGAAGAATGTAAAATAAGGGACAGAAAGGCACTGAAAAGCAGGGGAAAGCGAAGGTCAACACGGGGGGGAAAATAAAAAAAAGAAAAAATAAAAAAAAGAGACTCAAAAGGCCAAACCGCGCAGCGCTTCTTTTGCGACTGGAAGATTCTTCCACCGTTAAGGTGAAAGGGAACGGAGGTGACACGCTCCTTCCCCAGGCAGCCCCGGGAGCCCGGGCTATGAAAGAAACCCACGAGGTGGGGTGAAGTCAGCCATCTTCTCTGCCTCGCTCCTATTCCGGGTCCTGTAAGAGATGCCGGCTTCGCCAATTACACACGCGTTTAGGCCTCGGAACAGGGCCCCGAGAAGGACGAGCGAGAGAAAGAATAAAAATAAAAAGAAGAAAAAACTAAAGGGGTGTAAAAGGGGGCAGAGGGGAGGGGGCGAAAGCCGGC